GTTGGTTTTTGGTCTAATGAAGTAATTTATTATGCTAGTTATATAAATATAATATATATATATATATATATATATATATATATATATATATATATATATATATATATATATATATATATATATATATATATATATATATATATATATATATATATATATATATACTTATTTATTTATTTATAGCTATATAGTTTATTTAGCTGTGGTCAATCATTTTAAATATTTACATCTATCGGTTAGAATTTTTCCAAAAATTGAAATAAACAATATTTGCTACTTTTTATTTACAAATTATCAACAAAGAAAAGTTGCATCAGGCACCTCTGTACTGACAGTATCTGGTACTTTAACGATGGGCATTTCAGTGGTACATGGACATTTATTTCGTCAATTTTGTGCATGTATTTAAAAACTTCAATTAAATCACCTTTTTTTCTCACTTTATTTTCTCGAGTACTGTGATATCTATTTGTTTATTTTTTTATTTGTAATTTATTTATAGTTGACAAATATGGTTATTACAAAGGTAGTTATATAATTGGACAATATAAGTCAACTATAACTTAGCTTTTCTCTGTTCAGGGGGTTTATGTTTAAAAGAAGTAATTGTTTTGGTACCACAGTTTTGAATTCTCTCTAGCATGATATCTCCCTGCTGGTATGCTGACCACGTCTGGATAGATAACTCACTTTTATTCATTAAGATTTCGAATTTTAAATAAATAAAAATAAAAACTACGACTCTTATTTTAGCCTCCAAATGGATCGTTTAGCTTTCGCAGCAGCTGCCATAACTTAAGTTTTGTGTTTAAGGTCTTCTAAAACTAAAACTCTTAGATCTTTTTCTAAATAAGTAACTTCAAGTGCAAATGGCAGGTCGTCCTTGTCCTGGCATGAAATATTCTTGTGTTGGTATTTTTTTTCCTCGTCCTATACGCGTCACTTTACACTTCTTGATTTTAAAATTAAATGATAAATAAATCTTTGTTGACCTGTTTGTTTGATTTGACATATTTCTTTTGAAAGATTTCATGTGTAAAACGTCCAGCGGCTTGGTATTTTGACCAAAATGTACTTTTTTCTACGGTTTCCTCTTTAACTTTTGATATTACACTTGTTTGTTGAGAGGCTGTTAAATAAAGAATTCCAGTCTAACGCTTCAAAGTATTTCGATATTTCCGCATATTTAGCTCTACTCCATATACACCACGTCTTTGTAGCTGTTAATTGACGCTAAACTATTAATTAGGCAGTCTGATTGCTTATCTATTATAGCCCATAATGATGCTTTTTCTTTGATATTGACAAAAATTGATCCAAGGTAAATATTTCCTTTAACACACAAAATGAAATACCAAACTTCAACATTTTTAGAGTTTAGTTGACTGATTTTGACTTTAATAGATACATTTTCTGATGTATAAAGCCACCTTCATGAGAGCCTTTGTCTTGTCGATGCAGATTATAGCCTTTTAGTTCTGTTTGAGACTCGTTGAACCAACTCTCTGCAACAAAGATAATATCCGGGATAACGTTTTGAGATCTTATTTTTACTCTAAAAGTTAATTTGTCTAGCTTTGGTCTGTTGTATGATGCTGCTGTTAATATTGCTTATGGAATAAATGCTGTGGTCGTATTCGTCGATATAATATTGCTGGTGCTGGCAGCGGCGTTGGAAGCAGTATTAGTAGTGGTAGTATAAGTGGTGCTGGTGTTTGAGATGATATTGGTTTGGCTGGCAGCTGTTGTAATAATAAAAACAAGAGCATTGGTATTGACTAACTGATTTATTTTATGAGCAATTTTTTTTCGTTACACAAAAGTATCAAAGATGCTTTATTGATTTTTGGCCAATTTAATTGCGTTGATGCATCGTACTGAACCGGTTATTTAATGGACGATGAAATTTAAGGGTTTGTCTAAAAGATTAAAATGCCATTTAACATGCCTCATCTTGTTATTGACAATGTACAAATTAAACAAGTAGGGTAACCAACTTTCTAGGTGTTTGTATAGATGAAAATCTTACATGGAAAAATTACATTAAAAACTTATCAAGTAAAATTTCAAAAAGTACAAAAATATTGTACAATACAAGATATTTTAAAGAAACATACTTTAGTACAATTATATCACTCATTTATTCATTGTCACATAAACTATGCAAACATTGCTTAGGGTAGTACAAATAAAAATAAACTTAAACCTCTTTATTGTCAACAGAAGCATGTAGCACGTCTTTATATTTTAAAGACCGTTATACTCATGCCAAACCTTTATTGTTTGAAATGAAAGTTTTTAATATATATGTTGATAATATTTTAAATATTCTTTGTTTCATGTTTAAATGTAAAACCAGTTCATCCCCGATCTCTTTCCAGAATTTGTATTCATCAAAAGACAAAAATAAATACATTTTACGCAATGATAATTTTATTAAGCAGCCCATTTTTCAAACAAATTTTTTTAAATTTTGTATTAATTATCGCGGACCATTCTTATGAAATAAAATAGTTTTAAAAAATTTTACTCAGGATTTTATTCATAAAAGTTACTATTTTTCTTTTAAACGAAAGTTTAAAGAACTCATTTTTACAATCGAAGATTTAAAAATATACTTTTGATATTTTTTTAGTGATTTTCCTTTTTACCCTCTTATTTAAACATAAATTTATAAAAATTATATATGTAATATTGTATCTAGTATTTGTAACGGAATATTTTAAGTTTCTTACGTCGTTAATTATTTTTTTATCTTGTAAATATCTTATAAATTTTTTCACGAACATTTATTAGCGGTACTCGACGTCCAGACCGTATGTCTTTTAGGAGTCCCCGCGTTCTTTTAATATTTAATAACGATCATTATATATATATATATATATATATATATATATATATATATATATATATATATATATATATATATATATATATATATATATATATATATATATATATATATATATATATTATTATATATATATTATTATATATATATTATATATATATATATATATATATATATATATATATATATATATATATATATATATATATATATATATATATATATATATATATATATATATATATATATATATATATATATATATATATATATATATATGTATATATATATATATATATATATATATATATATATATATATATATATATATATATATTATTATTATTATTATTATTTATTTATATTTTAAAAATTTTAAAAGCTTATTTAAAATATAATAAAAAGAACAAAAAAAATATATATTTATAAAAATAATAATAATAACGAAGAGAGGGAATTGACATATTTTGCATATCCACCATCTTCTTTCTTTAATGCAACATCTACAACCAAGTCCTTCTTGTCCTTAAGACGACAATTTTCATCTACAGCAACTTACAAGTTTATATATTCCATGACTTTTTCTAAAACCTTTAATTTTTCTTGGTTACTTTTTATGTTTTAAATGACTCTTCAGCTTCTATCTCTTCCTAGTTTCTTAAAATGGTTTGCTTTTAAAAACCTTTTTACGTTCTTTAGCTTTTCTCATATTATGCTATTGTTTTTAAATGCTTTCTTACTCTTTTTGTTTGTTTTTTTAGAAGTTTGGTTTGTTTTTAAAAACTACTTAATTTAAAGAAATAAAAAAAAAATAAATAAAAAAAGAATAATTTGATTTGATTGTTTCGTTTTTATGTTAAAATAATTCTGCCAGCAGGATTTTTTGAAAAAATAAGTTTTTTAGTTGATAAAATCCTCATGTAATATTTGGATAGGAATTGTAAAAAAAAAATTACACATGTTTAAGGTTTTTTAAACTTGCGTACGGACAGAGTTGTTAGCCCTCGGCCTCTATTTTTATGTCATCTTGTTTTCGGCTTTCATGTATATCTATATATTTTCTAATTGACTTCTTTGTATAACCTTGGTTTATTTTTATAACATGTTGTTTTAATATCACAGCAATTGTTACCTACAGTTTTGTGAATAATTGGCCTTAACGCTTAAGTCTTTGGTCTTGAAAATGCTTGCGTAGATCTTGACCTCGAAACTCTTATTATTAGCCATGACCTTAAAACTTTTGGCCTTGGCCTTGTCTTTGGCCTCGTAACTTTTGGCCTGGGTCTTGACCTTGTAACATGTGGCCTTTTTTTTACCTTTTTACCTTTTGTTACCTTTGGCCTTTGTTAACAACTCTGGTTACGGACGAATTGAATACATCACACCACAACTTTACTAACTTTTAATTGTATATGTTTTATGGGTGAGAGTCATGATAAATATTTATTAATAAGTATTCCGAAAATATTTATAGCACCTTACTTTTTTATTTCTTTGTTTTTAATAAGTTCTGTGAAGGCTTCTTCTGTGAAGGTTTTTTCTGTGAAGGTTTCTTCTGTGAAAGTTTCTTCTGTGAAGGTTTCTTCTGTGAAAGTTTCTTTTTTGCAATTTTTAAGAAACAAAGTGTATTATGTTTTTTCAACGTTCAGAAGAGATAGGTAAGACCTAAACAAGCTATTTACTTTCTATAATTCAATGTTTATACCCTCATATAGCTGTAATAATAATTTCATAAAAAAAAATTTTTTTTGTAAATTTAAACGTCGTATAACATGCTGGTCGCATTTGTTTTTGGAAATTATTTTTGCATTTGAGTTTATCATACTGATGGCGACTATAAGCAACTTCTAATATAATTTTCTTTTTCACAAAATTAAAAATTAAAGTATATAATAGTTTAAAAAAGGATCTTGTCAGTTGCGTACCATCTTAAAAAAACCATTATTAAATTTTTAGACTATAGTATTATTAAAACTTTTGGACTGAATTTTGATTGTAATATATATATATATATATATATATATATATATATATATATATATATATATATATATATATATATATATATATATATATATATATATATATATATATATATATATATATATATATATGTATGTATATATATAGGCTGTTACAAAATAAAATGTCGAAAATATTTTTATTTATTGCGATATTATTAAACCTCATATAATTTGCTTCTTGCATGTTCTTTTGCATCAGAGTTTATCGTACTAACAGCCCCTCTGCGCAACCCTGAAAAAAACTGAATGCTTATTTTACGGCTAGGCGTATCTGCTACTGGCGTAGATTGTAAAACTCGTTCAAAGTTTATTCGCATTAATAGTTTGTTACAATAAGATTGCATAAACTCTATAACATCGTTTTCGTTATTTTTATTTACGATGACACAATCATCATCATTTTTAACTGGAGATCTACGCCACACACCTCTACATTTTACAGGTTTTTCAAAAACGATGAAATAAATGATTGGATTTGCAGAAAATCCAAGCCACGTTAAAGTTAGCAGACATTCATGAGCGAGCGTAGTTTTTTCTTGAAATTCGCATTCACTCAAAAAGCAGCATGCAAACTCTAAAAGCGTCAGAGGTAAATTACAAACTATGAATACAACAAGTGCTGCAAGTGTGAACCTGTAAAAATTTCGGTATAGTCTGCGCCGGTAAAGCAGTAACGCGGTTGCTTGCTTTGGGTATGCACTATCAAATATACTAATTACTGTTAAAAATCCGGGTGCTATATATAATATTAGAAAAAGAAATACAAGATAAACCCATAGTAGCGAAGAGTGTTCATTGTGCGTAAACCACAGTTGTTTTTTCTTTAAAAGCATTTTTGGAATGGAGACAACTAAACCAGATAACATAAGAAACACCTGCTCTAGTTTTGGATGCTGGCTCGTTTGTTTCTTTGTTAAAAGATTTATTGAGCATTTTTTTCTTATAATAAAAATAAGGTTCCACACAAAGCTGAAAGTATACAATAATTGTAATGCTGATAAAAAATTTCTTAAACCATTATTATTTTTATATTTAGATGTTTCTTTATACGCAATATATAATGGTATGTAGACGACGGAAACGAAAATAGCAATTCCACTTAGGCTCATAATATAATGCCCAAAGAAATAACGGCTGTTTGAACAGCTGTTTTTCAATAAAAGGTACATTTGGTAAACATTGGTGCAGAACAACAGTAGAAGCACAACTGGTATTATTGAGTATCGAAGCAAACGATCGTTGTTGTTAACTGTTGCCATATAATCATAGAACGTTAAATTTACCATAATAAAGTTTAACTTTTATGTTTTTTCTTCTCCTAAAAAAAGTAATTTAAGTTTATAAATCATTTAATTCCTCTCTTAATAATTCAATATATCGACGTTAATTTATTCATTATATCGACGATAATTTATTCAATATATCGACGTTAACTTATTTTCTACGGTCACTTGTCGATTTAATTTATTAAACATTAATTTCACGTAACACACTCAACTTACATAATTTAAACAGCAAATTATTGAAGGTCACTATTTCAAAAAAGCATAAAAAGGGTATTTAAAACCATGCGAAAAGTCAATTGTCCTTGCGAAAAGCATAATGTGTTCTTAAAATAAAAATCAACAAATAAAAAAAAAATACATTCTGATGAATTAATAATATTAGCATTGCCCTCTGATAAAAACCGATGTAATAGTAATATTTAAAAAGAAAATCTCTTAAAACATTGTTTTCAAAGTAAGAAAAATTTTTACTGTGATCTTTTTGAAGCAATAAAACTTCTTTTTCTTTATTTCTTGAATAAATTAAAACCGGCAGGACATTTCTCATCCTTATATAGCTCTCGTGCGTGAGTCAAAAGAACAGATAGATAAAAAAAAATTTAAATACGACTTTTTAAAATTGAATTTACCTAAGATAAATAAGAATTATTTACTTCAAAACACAAAACCAAAGTAAAAAGATAAAAATAAACAATTTTGTAATTTCATGCATTTTTTACATAATTTACATTCTATTATATCCGAATTTACCTTTAATTAGGCGCGTGTCTTCAAATTTGTTTCAACTTGATTTATTCGGTCTTTCCCTAGATGGCTTCTTTTATGCATTTCTTTTAATTTTGTTTCCCGTTTCCTTGACAAAGTATTCAGTTTTCAAATTATTGAACGCTAATCAAAAAGTTTCAGGAATTAATACGATGGGTGGGAAATAAAATTTAACTTTTGTTACGTTCAGGTCGATGTTTTGGGGGGTTCTAAACTTTACTTTATTACTATTATTTTTTTTAATAATAATATTTTAATCATAATGTTTTAAAACAAAACTTTTATAGAAACAAAGTTCATCATTATTTATTCAGTAAAACACTTTTTTTTATCAAACAATTGCGAACTTTTGTACGTTGTTTTTAAACCAGCGCCCATCTTACTATGTCTCGAGAAGAACATTATGATTTTATCTTGCATTTTTTTTTTTTTCTAATTGAAGTATAAACAATGAAACTATGATTAATATTAGAAAAGAAACTTTTTATAATGTTTGTTTATAGGTTGCTGAGGTTAGATTGGCGAATCTAGTCAAACAATTTTTTAACTTTGTTTGCGATTGAGTTTTGCAATTTTTTGTATAGAGATTTTTTTGAAAAAAGCGCGTTTTTTTTGTCTTTACAGTTACTTTGTTTTCGCTCTCCAGCTATTGGCCTTTTGTTAGCACAAACATAATGACTCAAAGTTTTGTAAATTATTTCTTAAAAAAGCTTTTCAAATACACTCTTCATGTTTTAGTTCGATTTTGTATGTATAGTAAAGCTAAGTTAATAAAGCGTATCTAGGCGCGTAATGTTTTTTTGAAGAATTGTAATGTTTTGTATGTTTAATGTTTTTTTGAAAAATTAAAGAAAAAATATATAACAAAATTTTAGGGCTAATGCTTAAAAAAAAAATCTGCAGGAAATCTTTATTATTTAAATCCTAATTTATCTCTTGCTGAAAAAATCTTAGATAAAAATTTTCATAAATACTCTTGATAGAAAAAAAAGTAATGCCAAGAGATCAAAAGCGGTGTATAAGAATGTATCTTTCAAAATATAATAAAACAAAGGTAAGATAAGGCTGTACCAGTTGAGTATAAACTCAAAAAACTCGAACTGCACAACATCTGCTGAAAATGTAAAAGATCAGAATGGCTTGACGATGTCAAGTAAGATGTACGGACACTATCGATTGTGGGGCACAAAAATAAAAGAATTTATAAGCAATTTTTTTTTTTTGATGGTTGATCAATATTATTATCTGATATCAGAAGTTTTAATATTTTATCTTTTTATTGGACTTATTTTAATTTTTAACTTTTTCTGAAGTCCCTTTATTTATATAACCTTATGTGTCAACTTGTCTGAGTCAGTGTAAGTGCAACAAGTTTAAGAAAATGAAACAAAACTGCAATATCAATCGCGAAGAAACGGCTTTGTTAAGTTAACACTTGAGTATATATATATATATATATATAGATATATATATATATATATATATATATATATATATATATATTATATATATATATATATATATATATATATATATATTTATATATATGTATTTGTATATATATAAATTTCTTGAATTTCGAATAGTTAATAATTTATATTTAATAATAATAGCATTATATATATATATATATATATATATATATATATATATATATATATATATATATATATATATATATATATATATATATATATATGTATATACTATTATTATTAAATATAAATTATTAAATATTCAAAATTCAAGATATTTTTATGAAACCATTTTTATTTGTTATGCTGTTTTATTACTATTTAATTTGGTCTCTTCATTTTGAAATAAATTTCATTTAAAACATTCTTACGTCATTAAAATATATAAATTATTAAGTTTATAAATTATAGACATGCTTACTGTTAATGGTAGTTTTTTTAAGATTTATTTAAATTCCTTATTATATATGGATTAGTTTGTTTATTGCTCAACTTGTTCTGCACAGCTGCGCAACTTACTCCGCTGGGACAGATTGAGCAGCAGTAGCCTAACAACGTGGGGGCTCTAGAACAATAAAATGTTTAGGACCCTAAATGTTCTTATACATAAGTTTTTGTCTATATTTTTAATTCCACAAAAAATAAAAAACAATACTTAAAGATTACCAAGGATGAATAATCAACCTAACTTCTGAATATCGGACATATGTGAGACTGCAAATTCTTGGGCGAGGTTTAAAAAACCACAAAATTACATAAGCTTTTGTGGGTTTTTTTTGTGTTTTTTACACAAATTTAGATGCTAAAGATTAACGAGAGCATAAGTTGCCGTAAATTTAATATTCTGATTGTTGCGTTTAACTGACAAAGACATATCACTTTATACGCTTCATGTATTTCAATATAAATTAACGATACTTATACAAAAATGGCAACTATCCGTAAGTAATATACGTAAATTAAGTATTCCCAAGGGTGAAATACAAGAAGCAAACTTGGTTCAAGTTCGACTTGAACTTTACTTTGTAACCAATAGCGACAGAGTATTTTTTATGGAGAAAACCCATACTCTGTCGCTATTGGTTAAAACTAAGCTGAATTTGGGTCGTCTATATACAAAAAACATCGTTCAATCTAACTTCGCTTGCTAAACCTTCCAATTAGGTTAAAGCTTCAATAAAGCGAATGCTTATAAAACCAACGTCAATTTTACATAGCCTTAATCTTGTGTCAAAAAATAAACTAAAAAACTTCAATTAATAATAAATAGACTATATTAATAATTTTAGTTTATTTGTGTCTTGTAAACTAAAATTATTAATTGAGGCATAATCCGACGCAAACGCAGAAATGTTTTTACAAAAACCCAGCTGATTCCGTTTGGCGGCTTTGGTATTCAGAAAGTATTTTTTAATTGTCGTAAAATTCAAAGTTTGATTCGATTCCACAAAAAAAATTAGCACAGAAAAACAAACTGAACAAATGTCCAATATTGACCCGAAGAATCTGGACTCAAGTCGGCAATCAGCTCAAAATATGAAACTAGGTCAGCAAATTTTGTACCGTTAATTTAGCAATTTAAAATATTGGTTGACAATCACTCACAATGACTTAAAACTCCCAGCGGAATTCTCTGATTATACGTTCGCAATAACAAAACCTCTTGAAAAGATTTTTGTTACATTTATCATTCACTAGTAATGATCCGATGATATTTGCAGCAAAAACCCAGTTATTGTGCAAAGTTGGCGCATTCGTTAAGTACTCATCAAGTTAAAATACCATAGTGCTAAGTACAAAAAAACAGTTACTCCCGTTATTTACTAAAATGTATACTTTGATTATCTTTAAAATCTGCTTCTAGTTTTATAAATCATCATCAATTTCAAATATGAGAGCTACGATTGCGTTGAGCAATAATGGTTAGAACGAGAGGCTTAAAAGGACAAATTTGAAAAATATAAATTTATGGCAAAGTTAAAATTTAACACATTGAAATGTTTTAAAATAACTTACTGAGAATTCTGCCTAACGAACTCTCACCTGGTTATGGCAATGATAAACAACATATTAAAAAACGTAAAAGTACCTAGTCCCTGCCATTTTTTATCGTGTTTTTATGATTGTTACGTCAATATTATTTTATTCGACTCAAAATTTTTAGTTATATTTTAATATTAGTTTAAATTTTATATATTTAAACTAATATTAAAAAAATATATAAATGTTAAATTTAAATATTTTTTTTTAATTGAAAAAAATATCTAAGTCTGCCTAACCCTTTGAGAGATTGGTTAGAAATAATTAGAAGTAGCCGGGGAAAAAATTAAAAACACTAATCTAATTTTAAATTTTGAGCAAACCTCAAATCGGCCCTGTTAATGAAATAAAGGTTTGATAACGCTTAGATTTATGGATTACAACTAATAAAAGTGAAGTGTTAAAACCCAGATGTTGTGTTAAATTACGATGTTATGACAAGGGGAGGGGGCAAAAACGGTTCAAAATTGCATGACGTAATTTGTGGACGATTACTTGTTGAAAAATTTTTATAATATGTTTTGAACATTAAAAAAAGGTAACTAAATTTGCAAAGTAAAAAAAAGTAAAAAAAGACCGACTATTCTTAAACGTTTGTATGCACGTTTCTACTTAAGTAGCTACATTTGTGTCTGCGTAACTTAGTTAATTTTTTTTTTTTGTTTACTATGTAAAAAAATGAAAATTTTCTTTTAAAGATAGTAATCAAAGGTTCATTGTTTTAAGGATTTTGTAAACTCTAAAATTATCTTTTAATTCTTCAAAGTATCTTTAAATAATTCACGATGATTGCTAAGTGTAGTATTTTTGATGATAATAATAGTGTAAACTGTAGCAAGAAGTGGCTCAAGTAAATTTATCCAAGCAAAGCTCACGACAAAATTAATGTAATATTTTCTATTCAAAGCACGAGTTCAATTAACGAGTAAGTTTTCTAAAAAAATGTATATATAATTACAGCAATACTGAACCGTGATAATAAAACCTTTATTGATGTTTTCGTTAGAAAAACTGAAAGAAACGAATCAAAATATATGGTCTTAACCAGTGGCGTAGGAAGGTCGCGAATGTCGGTGGGGGTGGGAGGTGAGGGGGGTCTGAAAACATATGTTAAAAAGGAAAAAGTTCCTCAATTTTGTATGATACAGCAAAATAGATAAAAACAACCTAACCTCCACCCCCCTATTCCTACGCCAGTGGTCTTATCAAATTTGTTTTTTGAAGGTTTATTTCACAAATACTGTTTGTCAACTTCGAGCTAATCTAGCCAGTCAATCAATACAACGTATATATTTATATTTATTATTTTAAAAAAATTGTTCCTTATTTACCGAAAATGTTTATTAAGAAAATATGTACTTTTTTTTTTCAAAGTGTTTTTCTTAAAACTTATGGCATCTTTTATATTGTTGTCTAGGTCATCTAGTTAAAATGTGGATACAAACAAAACGAGATAGAGATATAGAAAAAAAATTCGAATGTGGCAGTACAAAAAGAAAATTAACTGCTGAAGAAAAAAACGAAAAGAATCCTGGATAAAATAATGATGAAGATCCAAAAGAACTTAATGAAAAAGATGAAAAAGAAAATAATGAAAACAAAAATAATAACAAAGATGAAAAAGATGAAAACAAAAATTATGGTAAAGGTGAAAATAAAATTAATGACAACGAT